TGTTCTTCGTCCTAGTTGAACTGCACCTTCAGCTCCGTAGTGTAGTGCTGTACTATGTAGACTCGGTAGACAATCGGATGCGTTGGCAGTCTTATATGTATGTTATGAATTCCGTCTCGATGGCGTCTCATATGACTTCTTCATAGAAAATAGCCGAGGTGGTGCTTTTCATTGTAGACATTATGTATCAGGATAATCAGTTTGGATAGCAATGATTACAGTATTCCTCAGAGTTTACAGCGCGTAACTCTAGTAAAATATGAAAAATTTGTCTTCAGCATCTTAGTTCCCAAGATAGACAAGCAACATGTTTATTTCGAGGTGTAGCTATGTTGTTGTTGCGTGGATGAAAAGGTTTCCATTGAAAATCATAACGAGGTAATCTTCTCCCCATTAACGACGTTCCCCGGAGAATTATTTATTTCGTTAAGAGGATAAATTTCTCTATTTCATAGATTTGTAAGGTCTTTCTCTCTCATAAATCTTCACTTTGTACTTTGTATGAGACCCTCGTGCACAGCGAAAGTCGGTTGAGTGGTTAAACTGACGGTCCAAGGAGATGCGGCGTTACAACCTGCTTCCTGGATCGTTCTAATCAGTAATGTCTTGTACTTGAAAAGATATATGTTCGTGTTTGGTGGCAAACTTATTCAAGTGCACCCGTTCCTGAAACGATGTTGAACCGAAATGGATGTACGCGAGGATAACTGATGCTGCCTTGATGCTTAACCTTTGGTACGATGAACTGTGTAGAGCTGACGCGACGTCTACTGACTAGCTACAGGGAAGCAACAGCGTGAGTTGGATACTCTGCTCCTGTCTAGTGACCTGGACCTCCTCCGGGGCGTTCTTCTGCCCAAAGAAGACTCGAACCAAAAACGATGTTGTGGCTCTACGAAATCTCCAACCATCAACATCCTAGAACCAAGTCTCAACCATCGGATCCACATCAAGGCTTGAGAGATCTTCTTTATACGAGAGATGAAGAGACAGTAACTGCTCGAGGATGCCAGCAACGAAACTGAGCCGGACTGCCAAGTCAAAACCGCATTGACCGAGCCCCTCAACGACACGCGGGTGAAATCAAGTCTTTTATCATACAAGTACGGGGAGGCGACTGATGGCTCGAGTAGGCGGCGTGCAAGGGCTGATTTCATACCAAGGTAATAACCATGACATCATGGTCATATTTCTCGTATACTTGAATATACAATTTTCCCACCGGCAGAGGACTGTTATAATAAATTCAAAGTAAGATGCGAAAGTAATGTCAATCACGATAAATCCGGCTAGCACGAAGCCCCCTACGAGGGACAACGCCAATCCTCCGGCGCATCTTCCCGTTGCCAAAGATGAGAAACAACATCCGTCCAAGGCTGGTGGCGAGAATGCTTCCGTCTATTTTGTTGGGACTGCAACGACAATCTTGTTAGTGGAATACTCTGAATATATTGATCAAGTGCTAATTGCATAGAGAATGGGAGGGAACTCGAGTTTTGACCGATGTAAGTCTTACCTAAAGTCAGTACGGAGTATACAGGATACTAATGTCAATGCAGCCGAACTTTCTTCATGCCGGCGACCACGTCCATCTCGGCCCAGGCGTCTCCAGTACTCGTCGAACTAACCCATCCGTGGATTTGCATGATCTCCCCCGGATTGACCTCGTTCTTCTTTCGCATTATCACGCGTGGGCTCTCACCATCCTGTTCATCGACGTAACCGACTAACAGATTGATAAAGCGACCATTTCGATCAAGAGGTCGAAGCGAGTCTCCGTCGTGATCTACCTATCGTCAGTACCAGCCACGCTAAAAAGGCATTGTCATCCAAGGGCGACGATCCATTTACGAATGTCCACGACCTGGAGCCATTTCACCAACTGATGGTCGATGTCAACGAGGATACGGTGCAAAAGCAGCCCCGAATTCGAGTCACCGGTATGCCTGGAAAACATGTCGCTGGTCCAATAGAGAAATTAAATGAATATGTTTCTGCTGTATGTCCCCTGCCCCACCCAGAAGGAAGGTTCGACGATAATAATACAGGCTAGATTCCTCCAACAAACGGCTGGATGGTCGAACTGGGATACGAAACGAACAACACATTCAACACCGGCTACCGCATCTACATTTCCGGCGATACATTGATGGTAAACGACCTCAAGGAAATCCCTAAATGCTATCCCGACCACCCCATCGATTTGATGCTCGTTCACCTCGGCGGGACGACAGTGCCATCGCCAACGATGTCCCCTCTGGCAGTGATGGTGACGATGGACGCCAAGCAGGGGGTTGAATTGTTGCGGCTGATAAAGCCGGACGTGACGATTCCAATTCATTACGACGATTATGAGGTGTTCGCGAGTCCGCTGGAGGACTTCCAGAAGCTCGTTCAGCAGGAAGGGCTAGGTGGGGGTGTGGTGTATTTGAATCGAGGGGAGAAGTATCAGTTCTGTGTTAGGTCGTAGCATGGAGAGCGTCGTTTGAATTATGACTTGAGTTAAAGCCCCCGTGGATGTTATTTGCGCGGCAGTTTAGTCCTTCGGATAGTGTAAATGGCGGCAGCAAATGACACATTATTGTTGTTCAGGAATGCCAAATTGCGTACTGCTACTTCATGTATTAACATATCCGAACGGTATAGTTCAAACGTCTCCAATGGGACATTGGCGTTATCCTGGACCGTCAACATTAAAGTTCAAATTCTGCCATGCCATTATTCTGTAAAATTAACCCGAATTTCGATCCTACTCAAGCTAGTTCTTCCATTTTCCGCGATAGTAGTCAAGGAATCCGCACAAAGCCCTAAATTTCTCATACCTGAATCTGCGGCAACTGGAATGAGTGACATTTCACGCCGTGTCCATTCAATCAAGAGAGAGTCCATGCCTGAATCAGTGTAGGCTCACGCTTGCTATACAGTACATTAATTAGCAACATAGAAAAAAAATACTCACGTCTATTCACTGTTGAACTGATGAAAGTCAAGATGGATTAATAGTCGGCCCGATTACCGAGGCCGACAGATTCCTTCCTCATATATGGACACCGCAGCCATCTGCTTTAGATAGCCAAGCACTCATTCTATCGTCTATGGTGTCTATAGATGTCAATGTCATCCTCTAGTGTAATTAAATTCCTCGCCTATAGCCTCGTGCAGTCCGGATAATCGACTCCCCGATTCCCCGATCCCTGAGCTACCCGCTCACTTTAGGAACTCGGAACGGGAAAATCCCGCTCTCCTATCGTCTTGCAAACGACTTGGATGCACAACTCAGCCACGAAGAGAAGCCACGGTTACTTTTGACAGCTATTTATTATTTATGCGTATTAGATATCTACTGTGCAATTGTTTTTGATTGCACCTTATCAAATATGGATTCGCCTCGACGGGTCCGAAATCGGGTCGCTTGTCGAAGATGCCAACGTAGGAAAATTCGCGTGCGCTACTCCTAAATTGACGCATCTTCATTTAAACAGTACGACTGACTCTTGCCTTGGCATGGCAGTGTGATGGCAATTTGCCTTCTTGCGGATCCTGCCAAAAGGTGGGAGTTGATTGCGTGAATGACGGGAAGCAGGAGGTCCATCGTCTGTCAGTGTTCTGGAAGTGCGTGGCCTTGGCTCTTACTAATTGTTCATTAGCTACCTGGCGAATATGGAAAATAGGGTGAGATGGTTAGAGTCTCTGGTGAAGGAAAATTGCCCCGATGTCGATCTGAATTCGGGTCCCAAAGTGTCGGCTGAACAGCCACAAACAGCTGTTCCAAGCAGTCACAGCGAAGTGGACTCTGGATTTGCACAGACTCCGCTTCAAGGCCAACAACCGCGAACGGAACATGTCACTGTCACTCACGGACAATACCAAGAACCCTCGACCCCGGCAATTCCACGAACAGTCAACGACGAACCACAACAAGGACATGAAATCGGTCTAGTATCCCTCTCATCCGGCGGCGGCCCATGCTATATTGGACCTTCCAGCGGGTATTTCTTTGCAAAGCGCATATTCTCCAGGGCACACCGTCGAAGGAATCAAAAAGGGCCAGTAGCGAGCGTGCCAGGGTCCTCGAGTTTACCAACCGAGCTATTGAATACACCAGCGGCATTGCCCCCTCGAAAAGAAAACGCCATTGAGCTTTCTACGAGATACTTCCAAACTATCCATCTGGTGTATCCCTTTTTACACGAACTTTCTCACATGGACACCATTGAACGTGTTTATTCGTCGCAAGAAAACAGACCGTCAGACCTCTTCCAGGTGTTCATGGTCTTAGCTATAGCTGCCTTGGATATGTCTCGCCAGTACAAGGTCCATCTTCCCGTGGAAGGTTATTATTCCGCAGCGATGGAATATGTCGAGCATACTTGTGGCGATGGCTCTGTGACCGGCCTACAAAGCCTTCTTCTCCTGATGGTATATGCGCTGCACAATCCATCTTGCAGTCTCAATATATGGAATCTAAATTACCAATGCCTCGCAAGTGTGATTGATCTTGGTCTGCAACGCGATGTCCGCGCATCGTCAACGTTTTCGATTTCCGTTCTGGAACAGGAGATGAGAACCCGTGTCTTTTGGGTTGCATATACATTCGACCGCGTCATATGCACGATGATGGGCCGACCAATTGGGGTACGCGATGAGGCATGTGAACTGCGAGTAAGTTACCATGACTGACGTTTAATAATACAAGCTCACGTATGTAGTTCCCATTGGATATTGCAGGTTCCGACCTAGTCGGAGCAAATGACACTCAGTCACAGCATGCTCAGTCCTCACCACTTGCCTACTCGATTCATCTCTTCAAACTCGCCCGAATGAATTCAGAAATCAAGTACATCATGCACAGTATCTCTCGAGACACGCCCGCATATGCGTATCCTCCGATTAGAGATATTTCTTCATGGCAACGGGATATGATTCATTCGTTGCAAGATTGGCTCCATCAAATACCACAGCAATCTAGCAGCGATTGTGACAGAATGGCCCAACTTTGTAAGATTAGATATCATGAAATCATGATCTTATTATTGAGGCCGAGTCCAGCTATCCCGACTCCACCAGAAAACTCATTCGATCTATGTTTCCACCATGCTGTCGATCTGCTGCGTGGCTTTGGAGAGCTCTACCGTTCCGGAAGTCTTCTCTACAGTCGGCTGGTCGTTCATTCTATTCTCCTAAGCACATTCGTTATGCTGTATTGCATTTGGAAAGTACCGTCGACAGCAGCAAAATGCAGTGTAAATGAGCTTGCAGCCGACTTTAATACGTCGCAAAACATCCTGAGCAGCATCGGAGAATACTGGACCGAAGCAAACCGAGCACGCGACTGCGTTGACGAGTTCTATAATGTCACCCTTCAAAGACTTTTGGGCAATGACCAGGCAACCGCTTCGAGATCATCACCGATAGCTAACAGAACTCGGCCTCACCTCAGTAATACTCATGCTGCTTCATCCTCGGGTGAAATCCATCGTGATATCGGTCGAGCGAACGCCGATTATGGACAGGTTGATTCGAATATGCACCAGCAGCACGATCACACCGAAAATACGGCCGTTACTCACGATCATATTAACTTATTCGACGACTTTCTACAAGGCGATTTTCAAGGTTGGAGTGGTATGCCGGATATCGATGGCCTTATGTGGGAGTTTTTTCATTGATTCGCGGTCAAATGTATTACTTCACAACACGAATATACGCATAACGTTGTAATTTACCATGTCGCCCATACTCTTTCCAAATTGTCAATTTACGCCGAGTTCAAAACGGGAAAAGAGCACATGTGCTCGTCTTCCTGATCAACCTCGAAATCAAAGCGCATCAAATCCTCTTTGTACGGAAACATGTAAGTGCTCGTGACCCTACAAATGAAAGCCCCGTTAGTCCCGGCATAAATCATAAGAGACCACATTCAGTGCCATACCTATGATGTTCGTCGCTCGTTTGATATTCTGCCAACGCCTCCCTGCCTTCGTGATAGCTGACCAAGGCAATCTCGAAGCCTTTACTCCGTTCAATAGGATCAGTGACTGACGGGCCCCCGACGATTAAACGTCCATCTTTGACGCAGGGGAGGGATTTTAGCTTCTTCAGTTCGGCGACGAAGGTCTGCTTGTGTTCGTGGGTCACGTCGGGTCGGAATTTGAAGAGAACTGATAAATCGAGGGTCGATTAGCATCAACTTTCGCTAAACGAAGGCTGCTCTCACTTACCAATGTGGATAAGGGTCATGGTGATACCTTGACTTGTGTAAAATGTACCTGGGGAAAAGGTCGATGCCTGCTGGCTTTCTTTCCCTATAAAACTACCTCGGTGTTGGTTCGACGGGATGCAAGCGCATCAGGTGCGGAAATTCCGCGGTCACGGACAACCACCGAGAACGAAGTATGGCTGCGCATCTCAAAGGAATCGCGACTACCGAGGCTCGAAAAAATCGTTTTTTTCGCGCATATTTCGACAGCTGGGGGATAACCGAGAAGCCAGGTGGAATCAGATTGCATTGGAGGCGTCAGAGCGTTCGTATATGGTGGATATGTGGGCTGCCAACGGTGACTTTCCTTTTCGCCGCAAAGCATTCAACGCACATTCAACGCACAATATGGCAAGCTCGGAATATGCTTACGTTGTTGCTGAGCTATGGACATCTCTTCCTGAGCAGTTTCGACGCCCAGGGACGTCAGAACATTCGCAAAATCAGAAACGCGGCCGACCCCTCGACTCCTTCCTCGAAGGGCCTGTATACGTGCCCACCATCGCCCTGCTTTTCGTCACCGACATTCCCTACGGACGCATCTTCTCAGTTAACCCCATTACGGCCGAATGGTCTTTGGTCGTTGAATATGATGGCGAACCGAACGGAATGGCATGGAATCCAATTTCTCGAACGATCGTGGTCGCCGACTTCAAGCAAGGCATCCTGTCTCTCGACCCCGAAACTAGACGGCTCGAAACGCTCGCCTCTCGCTACCACGGGGAACGACTCAAAGGGCCCAATGATCTGGTTGTCAGTGACGACGGTATCATCTTCTTTACCGATCAGGGAATGACAGGCCTCCATGACCCAACCGGTAGGGTCTATCGACTTCATCCCGACGGCAAACTCGACCATATCCTCACGAATAGGCCTTCCCCCAATGGCCTTGTGCTCAGCCGTGACAGGACGGCGCTGTTTGTGGCCATTACTCGTGACAATTCTGTCTGGCATGTGCCTTTCTACGCCGATGGTTCTATGCAGCGAGTTGGTCGGTTTTCGAATTACTTTGGTATTGGCAGACCAGATGGAATGGCTTTGGGCGTGGAGGGAAATACATTCGTTGCGCATTCGACTCTCGGGACGATATTCATGCATCGGGCAAATGGAGAGCTAATGGCGAAGATTCGAAGCCCGCAAGGAACGGGAACAACCAATTTTACATGGGCTGGAGAAGGATCAAATGTACTGTACATCGTAGAGAGCGAGACGGGGTCGGTATTGAGGCTTGGCTGGCATTGTGCTGGATGTTTGTAGATTAACATGCATACGGATCACATGTAGTGAATGCTTACATTCGCTTCTGAATATATCAGGTATCCCTGTAAACGAACGATTCCATACACATTGATAATACCCCCTATCCCATTTACCACCACTAGAGCTATTCAAATCTCTGGCATCTAAATAGAAATTTCGAGGAAGGCACATAGATTTGCTCGTTCAACTTTATCACCGATAAATTAAGCAACTTCCCTCTGTTCGAGCATCACCCTTAGGGAGGCGTCGAGCCATCGGAACGATATCCCAGATTGTTGCAGCTTCTCTGAAGACGAGATCGATCAGTTCGAGGTTGCGGTTTATCGTCTCCGGAAAGAAGGGAATGACAATCAAGGGGACACTGGCAGAGAGAACAGCGAAGACAATATAGTATTTCCAACCAATACTAGACAGCGCAACAGGCGTAATCATGGTGATTATACAGTTCCACAGCCAGTGATTCGCCGTCGATATGGACGACATGGCAACTCGAAGGTGTACAGGTGCAATCTCCGCCGTGTAAAGGAAATTGTCACCCAAGAAACCGATGGGATAACATAAATTGAACATAAAGATGAACACCGCAGCAGCTATCGAGGCAGCGTGGTTTGAAGCAGGAAAACTCGTCGCAACGGCCATCACTACCATGCATAGTGACATTCCCGTTCCGCTGATGATAAATACCACACACCGTCCCAGATAGTCGATGGCAGCGAAGGCGATGAATGAGCAGAGTAGCTTCCATATGAGGGAGGTAGCCGCGAGGATCTGGGGAAGGTCGCCCTGGAGGTGCAAGTTATCCTCGAAAATTGTCGTAGTGTAAATGGAGATTAAATTCCCGCCAACTAGCTGCTGAAGGGTTTGCAGCATGATACAAAGAACCAGCCGATAACCAAGCCGCGATTGGTCACCACTCGCGAATGGATCCCGAAGTGAGGCACCCTGGACGGCCTCGAGAGAGTGTTGGATCCGGGAAATCTCAGATCGGACATGCTCGTTGTCTCTGGAAAGTCCGTTAAGCTTGGCAAGAGTGTCTGTTGCGCTTTCGATTTGATTCTTCTGAACCAACCAGTGTGTGGACTCCGGGAGGGCAAAAATTGAGAAACAGATAACCGGTGAGAACAAGATGGGGATGGCCAAAGATATGCGCCATTGGACGGGCTGAAATGTGACCTTGCCGAAGCCGAAGTTTATCCAACTGGAACTGGCAAAACCGACGCAAATGAAGATACCAGCTGCAATGACCTGGCGTCCTCTCCCACCAGCCGATGGGTTTTCTGATTGCCACACAGGCACCGTGACGCTCAACTGGCCTATCCCGAGACCCAGAATAACCCGTCCAACGATAAACTGCGCCAGAGAGAACGCTGAGCACTGAAGGATTTGACCAACCAGTGCGAGCATACCCGCAATGAAGATGCTCTTTCGGCGGCCAAGAGCGTCTCCGGTTACCGAACAGGATAGAGCACCCACAAGGGCCCCAGGTTGCAAGCAGGCATTGGCCAACCCTTTTATGGTTGAGTTTCGTGCCTCCTCAGCCCCTGTGGTATTGATAGTGTCGACTTGGGGAAAGTAACAGATGACGTCGGGGAGGTCTAGTAGGGCCGAGAGTCCGGCCTGGTTATAGTCGTACAGGATAAAGGCAGATGCGACGACCAGGAAGATTTGCGAGAAACGAAGAATCTGGGGCTTGGGATGCATCATGAGAATAATTCAAGTTTCTGAGAATGTTTACCAAATAGGCGCTACGGCGCTGTTATATACCTTACAGGCAATTGAAGACTGACGCGAGTCACCTGGCAAGTCGGTCCCGCTGATCAAACCCCCCTCCCATGTTTCTTGCTCGATTGTTCATCGGATAACACGGGGGCTTTCCATTTAACTGATATTGTGATACGCTAGCTCTTCTAAATGTCTGGATCGTATTGTGCATTTCTGTCAAAGCACACCGCATCGATATTGTGACTATAGTAGGATACATACAAAGAAACGAGGTTCAAACACGGCCTGTCGAGGAGGTTATAGCTCCATCTACCACAATCTTCTGCCCAGTAATATACATAGCTTCATCAGACGCCAAAAACAGTACAGCATTGGCTACATCCCACGCATTTCCCATCCGACCCATTGGCACCTGTTCATCACGCTTCTTCATGTACGCCTCCTCGTCTCCTCCCGGGGCATACCGCTTCGCAAGGTCTTGGGTATACGGCGTGTAGATCAACCCGGGGACCACCGTGTTCAGTCGAACTCTTTTATCCGCGTAGATGACAGCTGTTGCTTTGGTAAACTGCATGATGGCGGCTTTGGTTGCAGAATACGCGACTTGGGGCTTTCCGATGTAGCGCAGACCGGCGATGCTGGCAACGTTGACAATTGCACCTCCAGACTCTTGTCGCTCCATGATCGGGAGAACGTGGTGACACGTGAGGTATACACTGTTGAGGTTGATGTCGACTTGAGAGTGCCATACGTCCTCTGCCATCGTGGCTGGGCATCCCGGCTCCGAGCGACCAACGTTGTTCACGAGGATATCAATACGGTCATGTTTCTGAACGCATTTGTCGACTAGGGCCTTCACGGATGCCGAATCGGTGAAATTTGTCGAGACAACATCGCAAATACCTCCCTCCTCTTCGATGCGACGCTTCGTTCTTTCCGCGGATTCCAGAGAGCGATTTCCCCCGTAAATGGACGCTCCTTGGCGAGCGAAGAGCGTAGCAATGGCTGCTCCAATGCCCCAACCTTCGTCGCTGGTTTGGCCGAGACCGGTAATGAGGACGACTTTGCCTTGCAAATTGAGCATTGTGTTTGTCTTCTGTGTGATTGTTTCGGTGTCTTTATGTGAGCCTCAGCCGTCGTTTTAAGTCGTCGTGTGCTCGGGGCGCATCCGTCTTGGTGCGGGACGAGCCCCGTGTATCCGGATAACGAATGCACTTCAAAATCCTGTGGTTTTCCTTCTAGGGAAATTTGATTACCAAGAGATACTTATGCTTCATACTTCGCTCGTACGATACAATGGCGACCTGCGAGCTCAATCAGGATTACGATCTCCAGAAACCGATTGCCTCAACCTCCGGGCTGCGACAAGGACTGACCTCCTACGGAGATACGCACTTTTCGTTGTTTTTGCGCAAGGTCTTCATCAAGGCACTTGGCTATTCGGAAGATGCTCTCTCTCGTCCAATTATCGGCATTGTCAATACGGCGTCCGGCTTCAACCCTTGCCATGGGAACGCCGCGCAATTGCTAGATGCTACCAAACGAGGCATTCATCTGAAGGGCGGTATAGCAATCGACTTCCCGACCATCAGCTTGCACGAGGGATTCTCGCACCCAACGAGCATGTTCCTGCGAAACCTCATGAGTATGGATACGGAAGAGATGATTCGCGCACAGCCTGTGGATGCTTGTATTATGATCGGAGGTATGTCTGCGTACATTTATGCAGACAAGCGTGGCTGACCCAAAATAGGTTGCGACAAGACTGTTCCCGCGCAAATCATGGGAGGAATCTCTGCAAACAAACCCGTGCTTCCTCTTCTCACCGGCGCCATGATACCAGGCAGTCACCGAGGAAAATGAATCGGGGCCTGTACCGACTGCAGGAACAATTGGGCGTCCTACCGAGCAGGAACCATTGACATGGAGGAGATCGCAGCCATCAATGAAGAGCTCGTCCCTACGGTCCGTATTACCCTTCCCAGACGATACATCACGTGCTGATGAGACATAGATCGGAACCTGCGGAGTGATGGGCACTGCCAGTACAATGGCTTGCATCACGGCTGCTCTTGGCCTTATTCCTGTACAGGGCGCGTCTGCACCTGCTGTGTCTGCGGCCAGAATTCGCATTGCTGAGCAGACGGGTGCAAATGCTGTTGCTGCTGCTCAGAACCGGAGAACACCGCAGGTTATCTTGTCTGTTAAATCGTTCTACAATGCGGCGACTGTTCTCCAGGCCATTGGCGGCTCTACAAACGCCATGGTACATCCGATGGCCATTATTAACCGTCATCCGGGCATCAAGGGCTCGATCAATCTGAACACGTTGGACGACATCGGTCGTCGGACTCCGCTTCTCGTTGACTTGAAACCTAGCGGCGACAACTACATGAACGACTTCCACAATGCAGGCGGCATGCTGTGTCTTTTACATCGTCTACGGCCACTTCTCCATCTCTCCGCGAAAACCATCACGGGAGAGACTCTCGGCGAGTTCCTGGACCGCAATTCCTTCCGTGACTTCGAGTACTCATTGAGCGTCATCCGAGCCTTGTCCGATCCCTTGCATGTGTCCTCGTCCCTCATCGTTGTCGAAGGCAACATCGCCCCTAACGGCGCCGTGATCAAGGCTTCTGCCTCGAAAGACAGGCGACTCCTTCGCCATACGGGTCCCGCGGTGGTTTTTGAGAACTCACGCGACTTGGCTTTGTGTTTCGATGATCCTGATCTCGATGTCACGGCAGATTCGGTTCTCGTTCTCAAGGGCATCGGGCCTATCGGCAACCCTGGAATGCCGGAGGCGGGCATGATACCTATTCCGCGCAAACTGGCTGCTCGGGTAGTGACGGATATGCTACGCATGTCGGACGGGCGTATGTCTGGTACGGCAGGAGGGACGATTGTTTTGCACATTTCGCCCGACTCTGCGATCCCGGAGTCGCCATTTGGGGTCGTTCGATCCGGCGACCTGATTGTGTTCGATGCCGAGAAGAGGATTCTCCGGGTGGATCTCAAAGATGAAGAGCTCCAGGCCAGGATCAAACAACGTCAACGGGAGATTGTAGACACGAGTCATTCATGGAAAGACGACAGACTAGAAGAGGATATTGGGGCTTGTACGAACGGACTGTCAACCAGGCCCATGAAGGAGCAGATTTCGACTTTCTAACAGCGACAGGCTTAGCTTGAGTAGTTGATATTGTTGTTAACATCAAAATATACTTTTTTTTCTTTTCTTTTTTGCCCTTCTGGCACATTCACTACACTGTACGATTCCAGAAACGGCAACCGGAAATGATCAATAGCACTTTGTAAAGACGAGCTTCCTATATACGTACTGTAAGTAGAATAAGGCGTTTACGTCTTCGTCATTATGGTAGACTTCGTTATTGGCGTCACATTAATTTTCATGCAGTTCGATTCGTGCGTTTTACCCTCGCCAAGAGCCGCGGGATTCTCCCGTCCATGCGGATAGCAACCGAATATGCCCCTCAATCTTATAAGACACCCCCATACGCGATCGAGTTGTAAAATCTCAACAACAAAACATTAACTCTTCAGTATATCAAGATGACCGATTCGCCGTCCCCAATTCACCACATTAGGTCTTCTGATCTCAAAACGTTTGTGCACGACGTGCTGGTCGGCAACGGCGTTCCCAGCAACAATGCCATCATCGTCGCCGACTGCCTCGTGCAAGCCGATCTTCGCGGTGTCGATACCCACGGCTCGAATCGAATCCCATCGTACATGGAGCGAGTTCGGCAAAGAGTCCTCGATGCCTCTGCATCGCCACAACTCCAGCAAATTACTCCCGTCGTAGCCCTGGTCGACGGGCAAAACGGATTCGGCTTCACCGCAGCGCACATGGGCATGCAACGCGCTGTCGAGATGGCGGCCGAGTTCGGTATCGGCATGATCTCAGTCAAGCACTCGAATCACTTTGGCATGTCGGCGTGGGTGGTGCAGCAGGCAATCGATGCGGGGATGCTTTCGCTGGTGTTTACGAATTCGTCCCCGGCGTTGCCGGTCTGGGGCGGCCAGACGAAGCTCATGGGTGTCTCGCCCATTGCCTGTGGTGCACCGGCGGGCAAGGAGCGTCCGTTCATCCTCGATATGGCTCCGTCCATCGCTGCTCGTGGGAAGATCTACAAGGCTCTGCGCCGGGGTGAGAAAGTCCCCGAGGACTGGGCGTTGGATGCAGAGGGAAAGCGCACTGATGACCCGGCCAAGGCGCTGCAGGGCGTCATGCTTCCCATGGGAGGGCCCAAGGGTTCAGCACTTTCGATCATGATGGATGTGTTCTCCGGCGTGCTCTCTGGCTCGGCGTTTGCGGGACATGTTACCAATCCGTACGATCCTTCGAAGCCTGCAGATGTCGGACATTTCCTCGTCGCGATCAAGCCGGACCTTTTTATGAGCGTGGACGAGTTCAAAGAGCGGATGGATTACCTATACCAGCGAGTTGTCGGGTGCGAGAAGATGGAGGGGGTGGATCGTATCTATTATCCCGGGGAGATTGAGCAGATCACACGGGACACACGCATGGCAGAAGGGATTCCTTTCACAGAAACCGAGATCGCGAGCTTGAACAAGGAAGCTGAAGCAGTGGGCGTTGGAAAGTTGCAGCACGATTGATTTACTTGTTTGGCAGTCCTGTAGTTCAAATCTTTATGTATGTATCCCAAAAATATAGCACACTTTTGGCGATTATGGCGTTCCGTTCTATTCAACCTGTTCTTATTGGCCGTGGCGTACCCCGGATTCCGAATCGTTATAGGAAGTTGGTTATGGGCTCCAACGATGTGCAGTCTTCTACACTTGCCCGGCATAATCGCCATTCATATTTTCATGGTCCAATTACCGCCGATTGGCAGATTGCTCATGTCAGTATCGATATTGGCTTGTCTTCGTCTTGCTGGCAGTATCGTGCTACGTTATTGAGCCGGGTTTTTATACCGGGCAGATAATGATGATAGTAGTGACCATTCAGCGTAGTTCATTTGTTATATAAGAGAATCTTTGCCATTAGATTTTGCTTTTATTTCCCGATTCAAACGACAGCGCCTGGATTTTGCGCCACGAATTCTGGCCTCGAGCTGCCGCTGTTTCTGGTCTATACTTCTCATCGCGCATCCGCCGGTCAAAAGATTCCAGCGACACCCAGCCCGTATAGTTCTTGTCGATAAGCCACGCCTGCACTATTTCGCCCAATGGCAAGTATCCGCCCAGTTCGGTCTCCAGCGGAAACGGTCGAGCATGTTTGGACCAGGTGAATTCTGGCGCCTCGCCTTCGACGTACCAGGGATGCGCCTGTGAGAAGGGCGGGTCGAATCGCTCACCGTCCGATAGTTGCAAGTAGAAAAGCTTGTCCATGGGGATTTGCGTGACTGACCGATGTAGAGACTCGGCCAGATCACGGGCGCCGTTGGGATACTGTCCTGATGGCTCAAATGGACTTGCCCACAGCTTTGTGGCGACATGGAAGCTGTCGAGACAGATTCCAAAGTTGTCTCGGTTGACGAGTTCCGCTAGTCGGAGCGAGGATTCCCATGTCGGATAGTGGATTCCCCATGACATCGGCTCGTATGCGATCGAGATAACAGGTGCTGCGGCGCTGGCGAGGTCGGCCAATTGCTGCAACTCCGAAACGATCAAGGTCTCATCGCCGAGACAATCGCGGTTGTATTGCGACGGTACCTGAATATAGGTTGCACGAAGTATACGCGCGATGTTGATCCAGTGGCCCGCTACGGTCAATCGATCCTGAAGTGGTGCTTTACTGCCCTCGTAATTCTCGAAAGGAACCAACGCGATAATTGCAAGCCGATGATTCTCGCACGCCTGACGGATTCGCTCGGCACTAGCGGCCACGGACAGGTTGTTGCGGTCGCTGTATATCTTCAAGTCTCCGTAAACGATTTCGATACCCTCGAAGCCATGCTGGGCAGCCGCTTGAATCTTCTGGTCCAAGGTGTGGGAGGGATGCAGCCCCAGTGACGAGGTGCTAATGGCCAACTTGTTTGAGAAGCGTGTCATCATGTATTCGGGAAAGCAGTCTACCTTTAGGGATACAGTAACGCTGGGCTGTATTTATACTGTGAAGGGACTCGGAAAATGGATTCCAGTCGAGACGCGATCCATTTCTCCCCAAATGACTTGATGCTTGAAGCAAATCTACGGTGCGCTTGCATCAGTAGCGTAGTGTAACTTGTCCTCTCGGTGAGCAGCAAAAAAAAAAAAGAAAGAAAGAAAGAAAGAAGTAAAGAAAAGAGAAAAGAAAAAGGGCAATAAAATGACGGCGACGACGGCAACAACGACGAAGCAGTAACAGAAAGTCAGTCGAAAGCCAGTGGCAAACAGCAAAATCGCCTGCAACTTACGGGCCAAGGTATACAGGTATACACAAGGGATAAGGCGGGTTCGAAACGTACGACTACAGGACTACAGTACTACGGGGTTCAGCCACTCGGCTACGAAGACAATTTTCGGGAGTCAAGCAAGGATGTGATATATAGGCGTACGCGCTTGGGGCGAATCGTGCTATAATAATATTGTAGAACAACTTGTCCGAGTTTTTCTTCCCTATAAATCACGAAAGGGCCTTAATACGGAGCTTGATGGGTCCCTGACCTTCGCCTGTTCTTCTCTCGATTTTGTTAAAGAATCAATGCCGGTGTAGTGACAAGATATATATATGGCAGAAATGCTCTCGGTTCACCCTTTCGTTCGATTGCAATATCAAATCCTGCTCGCAGCACCTCGTATGGATCAATCGGAGGCATCAGAGTTTCTAAAAAATTGATATAGATTGCGAGGAACCGACTACGGAATTCATGTTCCGAGTATCGAGGTCATTTCGCACATGAAGCTAATTTCAGCTTCACTCGGAGCTCTCCAGCAAGTCGTGACATCCAGCAGAACCAAGCTATAAGGTAGCACTCGAGAGGCTTCAGGGTGAGAAATTAATCGTGAGCTGCGTAGAGAATACTAAGACATACTTCCGCATTGCGCCTCAATCCTTGACTGATTGTCCATAGTAGCGTAGATCTATTCGGTTATCATATCCCGCTCCTTTCGTTGGAATACCCAGCCGTAGGTCCCACCTTCCATTGTGGGAACTCGGGATTCCGTACCGCACTGATCTTATGCTTGTCTCGAGCTCGAACGACAAAACAAAACGTCTCCATGAAAAGATACATGTTCTAAAGAGTGTGTTGGAATAGACACACTCGCGGCTCCATTCCAATTCGGTGGCAGAGAAACCCCAACTGACCAGCGCCGTCTTGCCTTGATGACAATTGGCCATACATTGCGTAACAAATCCATTGCCCTGGATGAGGACAAATGCCATCTCATCCACGAAATAGCCGTTATCAACACAAAGACGATTATCGAGACCAGCATTTCGTACGGCGTGAGTGCCATCGTCCTTGACCTGGCGCTGGCGTCGAACATCGCAATCTCGGGAGGTTGAGGTGATTTGGCTCGGGCACGAGCCGAAAAAGACAATCCACGCAGAGAGGCACTGGGAGAAATGCATAGAGTCCATTGATAGCATGATTTAGTCGCAAGAAAACTTCCAAGAGACGTTGAAGGGGAAATATTGGGTCGTTTGACATGCTCCTCCTGGGTAGTGAGTAACTGGATTTTGTGTATAGTATGTGTATCTTGCCATTCACTCAAATCTGACCACTTATGGCGCCTCCGGCTTTGGAGTTGGTTCAGATTACAGTCGATTATACGATCAACGCTGCGGAGCGATGCAGATTTGCTTGAGTATTTGCGTACATCGGATAGTATACTTGAAACTATGACTCTTCCATATGAGAATGGGCTTGTTATGAGCCTCCATTTGCCGGATAACAAAATCTGAGTCTATCGAATAGTGCACCTGGTGACAGATGTCCTCGCTCATACTCTCAGATGCGTACCCAACGCAGTCGATAGTTGCTAGCATCCAATGCAAACATCTGCGTAGCTCGATTTTAGAGAACAGCGTGTAAATCTCTTATTACTTGCTGGATGCATGTGTACGCTTGAAGAGCTCTGGGAACATTCACACGGATGCCAGGATGTCCCGACAAAACCTAGTTCGCTTGCTGAAAAGTGACAGTTGTGCCGTTTGATGATTACACACGTGGTCTATGCGATGCTTACCGCTGCAGTAAAGGCTGATTATCCAGGCTAGAACTCCCGCGGAGAGATGCGAGTCTCGTGGCCTCCTAAAAAGAACCTCAAGTTTGTGTGTCCGCTGCGCTTGATCCAGGAGGCTGACCGTACAGTTCTGATCGACCCTTCCGCCTAAGCTCTACAATAGGTAAAAAGTGGAATTGTGCAACGTAGGCTCATTATTATTATGTTTGAATCAGTACAACGAGTTCGGAATATGCTCTGAGTCAAAGATATGGCCTGTGCGAGGATCATCATCGCGCCCTCATGTATGTCTCCTCCTACAGTCACATTTGAACCATTGTTGTCGAAGGGAGCATGCCGCCTCGTCTGGAAATGGTGCACATTGCGTTTTGTGTGACATGTACACACACTTCTCATTTGGTTTCAACGCGGATTATATGACCGGCTGGTTCGTTGAGAACGCTCGAGAAATAGTCCTTAAAAAGCATCGAATGTGTGGACAAATCATCTTCATTGAACACAATATGCTACCGCTCTCTGCTGCTTTGGATTACTTCAGAGGAGCCTGGTGTGCCTACGCCCGCATCGCTTTGTCTGGATTCGGATTCGGATTCGCTAACGAACGACCACATGCCCGGGCCAATAGACACCAGAATTTCCCCCGGGCAGTCACCTTGCAACACAAAATAGCCTCATAAGTTAAGGCAGAGCACGCTCGCTTTATACAGATGCTGAACTTCTCTTTCTTGGAGTTGGGTCGCGAGTTCCTCGGCAAGGAACGGCTAAGCGCATCGCTCGTCTGATTCACGGAACACGATTGCCATGTATTAGATTTTTCTTATGACCTGTTAATGGCTGGAGACGGAGAAACGGCCGCGCCTGGGCTCGGCAGTTGGGAAAGGAAGTGATGCTAAGCTCAATCATGCCGTTCCCATCAGCGAATCGAGAATTTATTGTATTCGTCAATCGACAGGCGAGCAGGATGGTTGCAGACGGCGGACAGGGGACGAGGAAATTGCATGCGGCCTACTAGTATGGTATTCATGCTTGGATAACGCGCACAGCACCTATCACGTGGTTGATTCAAATGCATGCCTTGGCCGTTGACTCGTATTACTCCCGACATGCTCATCACGTCAACATAAATGGCACATTGGTTGTTATCGCGATATTCGTGCATCGACATTCTCTGCACTATGCGAGATCGTTTCGTCGCCAGATTCGCGCACGAGCGCCAGTTGGCTCGTATTACATTCGCCGGATTACGCATGCTCAGATCACCCAGAGCTTGAGACAGGCTACGTGTGTTATCACATTTGGTTGCCCAAAAGGCGACGAAAGCAGGTCGGATGGCTAGTGAAAGACAGTATAAAGTGGCAAATGGATGTGTGTACGTCTAGGGTTCGTTCACCTAAAGCGGTGAATGCTACCCTCGCAGTCGAAGTCAATTATAGTCAGCTGCCTTCCGGTTTCGCTACCGGCTCCTGGACTGGCCATAGATCTAATCGACAAACAACTTTTCGATCTTGCAGAACTATAATAACCCACACAACGCTATAGATCTAAGCTAAACACGCTCATCATGAACAACTTCTTCCGTCTTCTTCACACCCTGCTCACGCTGGGGAACCTGCACATCGTGCGACTTCCACGCCTTGACACCCGTATCGAACATATAATCGATCTCTTCAAGCGACCGCTGTGCCGTCTCCGGATACAGGAAATACACATGCAGCGTCATCACAGTGCAGAAGACCCCGAAGATAAGATATGTTCTCCACTGGATGTTGGTAAACGCCGGGGCTACGAAGTACGCCAATGCGAAGTTGAAAATCCAATTGCCTGCAGCAGAAAGCCCGACACCTTTGGCACGATACTTCAGAGGGAATATTTCGGATGAGTAGATCCAAGCCGTCGGAGCCTGAGAAGTGGAGTCAGTATCGCATAAGCCCTGTAGTTCTCTATTGGAAACCTACCCATGTCAATCCGTAAATGCCAGTGAAGATGTAACTACAGGCAATAACGCCCTTGCCTGGTGCGCCGGCAATCACCCAACGCAGGTTCTCGTTACCGTTGACTGAGTCAGCGTAGTGTCCGTACGTTGCCATCGTACCAGCGATGGCAAAATGTAGCGCCATGCACAAGATCGACCCGGACAGGAGCAACATGCGACGACCGGTTTTATCGATGAATGGCAGTACGACACCAGTAGTCACCAGGAAGATGACATATTGGATGATGGACGAGGTTAGAGATTGATTGCCGCCCTGTTACTGCGTGTTAGCTGGGTCACGAATGCCATCTTAGATGCACGCACCATATCGGCCATTTGGAAAATATACACGACGTAGTACATGGCAACATTTCCTCCCAGAAGTTGCTGCCACACTTGCACACTGATTCCGCACATGGTCCGCTGCCAGATACGCGGCCCAAACAGAGCCAATATTGAAACATCCTGCGACTCGTGCGCCACGCGCGCGGCTTCTTGTACCTCCTCGAATTCCGCTCGTACCATCGGATGGTTGCGATCGCCTTTACCGTGGATCAAAGCCAGCGTATCCAAGCATTCTTCCCAGCGTTCTTTCCCGGCAAGCCATCGCGGCGATTCAGGGAAGAAGATCAGAGCCAGGCCGAGGATCAAGCCAGGGACAGCCTGCACGCCCCAGCAAATCCGGAAAGCCGCGGGACCTGCCACGGATATCGAACAGCCGTACGCGATGAGATACATGACCAAGATGCCCCATTCGATTGCCCATTGTTGGATGCCCACAACCCGACCTCGGATTTTCGCTGGGGCCAGTTCAGCCAGGTAGACACAAACCTGCGAGGACGTCACGCCGACTAATCGATGAGCATCAACGATTTGTTTTTCGCTGGGAAGGACCATGAAACATACCTGCCAATCCGCTAACGACTCTACCAGCCACCAACTGGGCCACGCTGTGCGCGCTGCATTGGATCACCGAGCCGATGATCCAAACCACCGATGCTATCATCAAGGACAATCGACGACCCAGAAAGTCAGAAATGAACCCGGCCGCGATAGCTCCGGCAAACGAGCCGGCCGACATGGATGCCGTGATACCGCCTTGCAGATTCGAGTCGGGATGATCAAAGTATTCCAGATACTGGTCGGCCCCGATCCAAGCACTCATCGAGCTCACATCAAAACCGAACAAGGCACCGCCAATGGTGCCAAAGGCCGCCAAGACTGCGAAGCGTCAGTGACATATGATCGGATGCAAAACGGCAGACGTACCATAGATGTTGGAAATGCGATACATAACTGCTGGCCGGCATCTTCTCTGTCGCGATGAGAACTGAGATATATAAAGTCAGTCGTGCCACTCGGTTAGGCTGTATCGCAATGCGGAGGTGCTGTGGGGGGTCCGGGGTAAAAACAAGACGACGATCCAGGACCAGTCGGTTATTTGCGTCGTATTACGGCTGATTACAATTAACCGAGTGCACCAATCGAGTATTTTCCCAACGGGCAGCCGAATGTCAAATAAATTAACCGCGGGGTTAAAGGCGGAAAATTCGCCCGACTGTCAATCGTCCTGGTTTCGTCCGTAGCTATGTGCTTCCCGTTCGGAGGTACAGTACAATGGACAATTCGTCGGCCCGTATTATCTTGTTGGAGACCATAGAAAGCAGAGAAAGCATGCGACAATTCCAATCCTCCATTCTCGGGCATACATTTTCATTTAAAAAGGTCGCATGCCGTTGTAGATAGACGCCGGCCGGTTGTCTGACCAAGTCCGCTTACCTGGAATGGAGGCCTCGGGGATGCTATCGTTGAATGGCGTATACGAAGTGAACCCGAGTCGTGTGATCCATTTATCCCCAGTCGTCCCTTGGTATGACACGGTTATAGATAGCTTTCTTACTCGCCCAAAACCGGGTTATATACTTAGAGAAGAATTTGCTAGACTATGGAGTACGGAGTGTTTATTGCTTAACGACCGACGCTAGAGACCAATGCGGAATGCGGTATGCAGTGTCAGAATATCGCCCGAACCGGTCGACCGTCCTGTACAAATTATGCAAATTATGGACAATACAAAGACCGAATCATGCTCGCCAACTGCTGCACTTCGCTCCGAACCCACGGCATGGCATGGTGATAGTCCACCTCGAGCACCGCCCGGCTCTGCGGGTTGAAGTACGTTTCGGTCTGTTGGACACCCAGGTGCAAAAACGGATCGCGCAGCCCGTGGACATGTAGCGTGGGCAGAGTAATGGGATCAAACGAATCCGACGTATCAATGCCTTCCTTTGTTAATATGTACCCCAGTTCGGCTTGTTCAGTCCCGAGGAAGAATGACTTACGATGACCGCTCTCTGCCTCCATCGGCGCGCCCCCTCCCATGCAAAACACTCCAAATGCTAATCGGATCCTGCCTTTTTCGCCCAGAATTTCTCGCCGCTGTTGGTCGCGGAGTAATCCGCCGACGATTCGCGTTCCCTGGCTGAACCCCATGGCTCCGACCCAGTCCTCCGCGCCTCCCTGTCGCTCCATCAGATCCAGCACCCGTTCGACCCCATCCCGCCCGATTCGATCATAGCCGCTGCCGTCGGATACTTCAGTTCCCGTATCATCCTGCGTAAACCATGATCGGAAGGGGCCATAGTCGCGGAAGGCGGGGAGGATGCCGGGACCCGGAGAGCGTTCAAAGGGAGCGTCGAAGAATACAAGGCGGAATTCGGGCTCGAGGAGCCGCTCAAGTTGGGCACATTGTTGGCGGTAGATCTCGCCGTTGGATCCGCCGCCGTGGAAACAGGCAATTAGTGGCATGTCGTTCGATTTGAATGGGTGTATTTGGTGGTTTGTCGATGGTGATGGGCGATGAGATGAGGACAAGGTTGCATTGGCTATTGATGCATGCCGCACTGTAGTGTGATGGATCTCGTAACTTTCTCGTGTGGATACTTCAACTAGAATGTAAGCTACCTTCCGTAGTTATACGCCAGGGCACCAACACGAGCCCAACATTTACCATGCCGCGCTGCCACTTGGTCTTCCACAGTCATTACTCGCTTGCTGTTCTATCTGACATGCGATGCCACTTCAGCAGACCCACAGAACCGCTGCCACGTCGCGCATCACTGCCATACATCACCAACGTCGTCCTAAAAATAAAATGTCCCATCTCGATACTTATTTTGTTGATGTTCCGACCGTCACCATGTTGAGTCGTAGGTATAACCATGATTCCAATACTTATCTTTGCCGCGCTAGCCGGCTTCTATTTCCTCGCCTTCTGTCGCCGGTATGTCGTTTGTTTCGCAAGACGACAGTCCCAACGTTGGGTGGTCGTCAAGGGTCACACCTTTACCGATCGTACGGACGATGAGTCGACGCAACAGCCGAAGCGCATCCAAAAGGTCCGTCGCGCATGCTTTTTGTGTACAGGAGAGAACGTGTCGGCGCTGGCGGCTCTGGTTCTGGCGGAGCGTAATCCGGACGTGCAGTTTGACGTCGTGGATCGCGATGTTCGGCGCATTGCGGCATGGAATTCGGATTGCGTCCCTGTTTCGGAGCCGGGAGTCGATGCGTTACTGTTTGATTATGCTGCTGTGGAGGAGAAAGACGAGGTTCTGTACAATGAAGAGGTACATCGGAAGAGACGACTGGCAAATGTGGTGTTTTCCACCGACGTGACTGGTTGTGTGGCTGCAGCCGATATGATTTTTCTGGGCGAGGACACGGATACCAACGTGAGTCCCCCATACCTGTAGTCAGAAAATATGCTGATTTGCAGACCATCCGGACCATTGCCCAAGTCTCGACGAGCCACAAAGTCATAGTCTATAAAGGACGGGGCAATACCAAAGCCATTCGCCAACGGGTATGTATCTGGTCTCCGTATATACTATATACATTCTAACATGGAGAGGTAGCTCGACAAAGCCACAACCGCATCATTCGACCTTATCGCCAACCCCGACTTTCTTGTCACGGGCAGCATTATCAACAGCCTTCTACATCCTACCCGCGTCGTTATTGGTAGCTTGGCCGACAAGCATTCCGCTGAAGCGGCTGCATTGCTGAGAGAGCTATATTCCTGGATTTCTCCGGAACGCATCATAGCCACAGACATTTGGTCCGCAGAGTTGGGTCGAATAGCCACAAATGCCATGCTTGCACAGCAAAGCGCCACCTTCCATGCCCTGAGCTCCATCTGCAGCCGGACTGATGCGAGCGGACCACACGTTTCGCAAATAGTCGCGACGGACTCGCGTCTGACAATCCGCGCCATTGGCGAAGCAGGATTACTAGACGCAGATCAAGACGGTCTACGCAAAGACGTCGACTGTCTCGTGTACCTGGCGCAGGAACTCGGCCTCCCCGAGGTAGCCGAGTACTGGCTGTGCGTGATGCGAGTGAACAATGCGATGAACCATACTATCGCGCATCGCCTGGCGTCGTGTCTTCCCGATAGACCTGGAAACGTGGCTTTGCTGGGGTTTTCAAACGGAGAGGGTACATTAGCCGGCGTGGGATTCGTCCGGTCGCTTGTACAACGCGGCATCCCGGTGCACATCTACGACCCGTACATGACCCGACACGAAATCTTGACAAGCGTGGGTTGTAACACCGGGGTTACAGTGATGGACGATGTGCACCAGACGGTATCCGGATGTAGTGTGGTGGTACTACATACAGACCAAGGGTTGGATCGTGAAGTCAATTGGGAGACTGTGACTGGACTTATGCAGCCGCCGCGATTTTTTCTTGATCCGTTTCAAGTCATGGGAAACATGGATCATTACGGGTTTCGAACGTTGCAGACGGAAAGGCACTACAGCAGACCCACCATCGCAATGTAGTACCGTAGCATTACATGTACAGAGCACGAGACATATAAGCTGCACATCTATCCATCCATATTCATGTCCGTAAGCGACTACAATCTCTGATAGTTCTCCCAAGAGTCTGTAGGCATATATCCGTTTGTACTCAAACAGAATGCCTGCTCTTGCAGCTCTATGGAATGTTCTAGATGAATCCTTTACGCGATGAGCTAAAGTATAGCCATATCGTCCGTCTATATTCTAATCCTGTAAATCAGTTTATCGTCTTTCCCTCCTATCGTACATCTATCGTTTGCCCTCTGGCGTCATTCTTTCGTACACCCCATCTTTTCTTCTACAGAGTCTACTTATTGCTGACAGCTGTCGAATGGCGCCTGGACTTATCCCAAAGAGCATTACTGGGCTAGGGGGGTCATGCGAATGGGCAAAAACTGTGATGATAGCGGAAATCGAGGAAAGAACTGAACAACAACAGTGATCCTGATTGCGGCGGAATGAGAATAACGGACATTATGAGCATGCAAATAGAAGGGAAGGTACATGTACGTTCTTTTGCACTACGCTCTTTGTCTGCAAGTCTTCTCCGGGTATTCTAATTGTCGTCTACCACTCGTCTATCTATGTACGTTTGCCGCCGGGCTTTTAACAGTTGGGGGAGTGTTTGGGCGTCGTTGCGAATGGCGTCTGTAGTCAGAGAACGCATACGGTATAAATGAAGATGCGCGAGAACTGACTGATATAATCCCGATGCTTAAACATGGGACATGATGGGATATGGGGGCTGACACGACGTCTACCCAGGACACACGCGGAGCTACCACAGTGGTTCGACGCCTTCTACACGGGAGCGCCAGCTTGAGTTCGATTCTCTATTGGGACTTTATGGTGACCTGGTCTTCCTCCGGTCAGTTTCTTATCCCTGAGGGAGGACTCTCCAATCAAATAACAATAACATAGCTCTATAAGCACGTGGTATTACATCCCGCATAACTCGGAAATAGGGTTTGCACAATGTATTTTTTTTTTCTTTCGTTGCAGACCATTCCCAATATCACTCGTATCCAGAACTATGTGCTTGAAACAATTCCATCCGATTCATGGCCGCCGTCGAATTTAGGGACTTGTTCGAGGAATGAAGTAACCACCCGCTAGGGATACATTCCTGGGACCGAGGAATCTGGCGGTGTTGGTGAGTGAGGGGCTGGTGTCAACGCTGTATTCGGCGTCTGAAAGTGGACCCAAACACCGTTTTATCGTTCAAGGCAAGCTAAAGAATGGCCCGTGGAGAATGATGGATCACTAACAAACTTCGGCATCAGAACCGCAGACATCATAACTCCACCGTCTCACCTCCAATCCTTGTGATAGCCCGTATGTTGTCCCGTATATTTTACGACACCATTTGGATCCATCCAGTCGAGGAAACCCGAGGTCGTGTGAACGTTTCAGAAATAGAAGCGTTTGTGATGTAGTACTATGTGTTGAAAATGATGGCACTGTTAATGTAGTCTCGGATAATAGCATGGAAGACCAATAAGTACTTTCGTTGTAGGTGTTTGCTTGCCGAATTGCTACGTAGGCGTGCTCTCACTGAACAGTCTATCTTCTGATTTGGCTCAATTATGAATAATACGCGCTTACGCATCTTCAGGCCAACTGCTGACAAGGTGATGGTCCACCTTTTTAGCGAGAAAGAAGTGAAAGACGTTGAAATCATTGCAATTCAAGAGCCCAGTATTAAAAAACACACAGACCCCATAACAATTTACTCTCAGGCCTTGGAAGGGCGTTTTCATGTCCTTCTCCGACCTATTCCGCCCACATACTACTCCATTGCCCCCAGCACGCTGAAGCCCGGGCTGAGCACCTGCTCCCTGGCACGCAAGATTGTGATTGGCGGTCATTTCTAACGAGGCCAAATCTAATCGCCAAAACCGCACGCTTTATGCTGAGCACAAGACTCCTTGGGCAGTTCAACACCTTACCAACGTCGTATCGAATCTCCACACGAGATTAGAGTTCGCGATAATATAACGTGGGCCAGTCAGATTCGTCCAATCGTCCCGCAGTGAGCTGCCGCCAATCGGCCAATAGGGCTGACAGATGCGTGTATGAATAAATAATAATAATAATAATAAAACTAAAACGCCAGTGTTGACTCACATCGGCAAAAGTGGGAGGCTATGATACTTGAACGCCCCAACGATCTGCCGATGTAGTACGCCATAGCAGCTCTTCCTTTATCAATATGACGTGAAAAGAAAGTCGTGTGGCAGTGTTTGGATGATGAAAGGTTATGACAATCAGACAATCACAATCTACTTACATTAAAGGAAATGCCAGCAATACGAAGAGACAGGAATAAACTCGACAGTACATTGCTCAATACTGATAACACGAATAGAAGTTCCAAGCCTTAAACAGTATAGTAATCCACTCCTCCAGCTTCCATATCAGTCTGCATTGATTCCGCCAACCCGCAGATATCGAACAATTGCCTCGGGCCCAACCCCTTCGGTGTGCCTACAACCCCATCTCTCTTCAAACGCTCCAGTGCTGCTCGGATTCCCAAATATGCTGGGGCCAAGGAGGCAAAAGAAAATATCATGATTCGGAATCCCATATCTGCAGCTTCCCGAGTCGTAATAACCGGTCCAGCACCATTTTCAACCATGTTTAGCAGCAACGGCCATGGACGGAGGTCCTCAACAGCCTGTTGTGCCTGATCTTTAGAGGCAAAGCCCTCGAGAAGGCCGACATCTGCTCCAGCATCACGAGCAGCTCGCAAACGCTGGATGCACTCCTCATAGCCAAGCTGCTGAAGGGCATCAGTACGGGCAATCAGAACAATATCTGATCGCAACCGATCAATAGTGCTCTTAGCCGCTCGGATACGAGTGAGATACTCGTCAAGAGAAACCACTTTCTTGCCTCCCAGATGGCCGCAACGCTTGTTTTGAATCTGATCTTCAATGTGGAAGCCTGCAACACCAGCTGTGATGTACTGCTGTACGGCTTGTGACACCATTAAGGGACCTACTTTCCTTGTCAACTTTGTCCAATATACTAGCAAGTCAAAACATACCGCCATAACCGGTGTCCATATCAGCAATCAGCGGTGGCCCAAACGGTTCAAGGTGAGCAATCATCTCCGCATTGGTTTTCATGTCATACAACTGCGCAAGACCCAGATCGGCCTTTCCCAATCGTGACGCTGTCGTTCCCGCACCAGTCTTAAAAGTTCAGTCACAGATTTCCAATTTGGAGACCTGAACACATACCATATACATGGCCTCAAAACCAAGGTTCAGCGCTATTCTGGCCGAGAGTCCATCATAGACACCAGGGCAAACAATCAAGTCATTGGATTCTTGTAACATATGTCGCAGCTTGGCTGCTCCAGACATTTGGTGCTTCTCATCAATCTTGTTGCCGTGACCGTTGGAGCTCGTGACTGCCATTATATCTTCGTTGTGTTTCTGTCTTATTGTTGCTTCAAATTCAGTTCAAGTCCAGGTGAGTGAGGTCCTTTTATACCATTGCCCATGTCCGTTTAGGGCAAGAATTTACGGACCCCCGCGCTCCGCCTCTCCGAATAATGAGCTCTTCAGCAATGATGCTGACAGCGTGGCACGCGATCAAAAGCAGAATGCAGGAAATCAACCGATGCCAAGGGTTGGCATAGCCCTCTATCCTTGGTAGAAGTCAAACTGTCACACTGGGTCTCCATTGACAACATTTTGATGGAGCGTGAGATCTAACTGAGGGACATTATTCGCGTGTTTATTTTACTGTTAAGCATATCAAATGCTGGTTACGCAATGGTCGTGGCGGAGGCTCAGGTCCCACAGCGAAATATGGAGTTGCAGAGGAATAAACTCTACACAGACCAAAATTACTATTGATAGGCATTTGGATAGACTGAAAGATCTGGAAATATTTGCTGTTTTTCAAATTATATTTGTCACTTATCATTGCTCATCATCAGTATGTATATCAAAAGCAAAGCGCAAAGAGACTGGAATTTCGCTGTTTCAAGTCTCATCACGTCAGTACCATTGTTTTGAGCCGTCAGTAAATTCGATTGCCATTGACATAGATAGTGCTTTGGACCATCTCGTTTCTCCCAGTGCAATGGTACTACCAAGCACAGGGCAGTGCAGCTGTGACGTGCTAAGCCGTGTGCAACTGCTTTGGAAATTAGCAATCGACGAGATCCATTGACATTCTGCGCCGAAGCCGGTGTGGCGCAATATTCTCATAAAGCTCAAGTGATGCACCAAAACAAATAAACTTATCCCAATATATGTGACAATGTTACACCTAACGGACGTCATTTCCTGATTCTTAAGCCAGTTACATACAGACGATTGGAACATCAAATCAAATACTACAGCATAACTTGGTGACCCGTGGGTTTGGATTTCTCCCTTCCATCCTGATTCCTGAACAGAGAGTCAAAGCATACATTGCTCCCCCCAGCCTATCAATTATTCCTATTCAATCTTGGCGGTAAACCCAACGCGGCCAGAACAAGAACCTAGTTGTATCGGGGACTTAGGAAAGATGTTAGGACTCACCGCGCATAGCGGCGGACTTATGCATTATGTCACGGGCTCGGTAACTAACTAGTAGATAAAACGAATAATATTCATGTCTAGACTAGGTAGCCTAATGACGAGAATATCGAACCTGGAGAGGAAAAAAGAAGAGGAATCTATCTACAGAAAAAAAGGGTTTTTATTTATGGGTTCTGTGACCGCGCTAAGTGCTTTCTTTGTTTGCTTGGATGGCGGCGTTTGTCGATATCAGCCACTGAGGCGTTGAGCCGTCACACATTACTTAGTCATACTTATGCCTGTAGTTAGTTACTGTGGCGGGTTCGCAGGAATAGTTGGGCCGGGGCAGGAAGGTTGGTATTTCCGAATACCGGACTATCGACCTTCCTTTTTATCAACGGACAGCGAGATTAAAAGGATTGAATCAAGATGTAGTTGATTGATTAAGATACTATTGTTATGGGGTTCTCGTACGAACCCAAAGGATGACAGTTTGGCTAAGGCCAGCACGGAACGCAGCCAGCAAGGGGCCCGAAACAACTATCAACGACCTTCGTACGACGAGGACTATCGGTGACCTCTTCGTTCAACCCCTGACCTCCGAGAGGGATCACTGAGAATACTGTTTGGAATATCGTTCCCGTACGACCATAAAAGATGGCTACCGGATCATACTGAAGTGCGTAGTTAGTTGATTCTCGAACGATGGGATGTACCGGACCTGACCGGAGACGGCATAACGTACTTCCGGTAGCATCTCGGGGCGCACCACTACAGTATATGTGTTCATTGTCATTGGCATAGCTGACTGTAAGATTGTGAGCTTTCTTGAATTTCATCAAAGTAATGACTTTTGAGTTGAACTTTCCATCCTTAGTGATCTTCTTTCTGGACTGGGTGCTCAGTTTAGCAAACATTGGTGTCACAGGCTGCGCCTGTCGCATAAGCGGTATATTTAGTCGGGCAGAGAGGTTACCGGACGGAGAGATTATTGGAGGGACTATCGACCCCGCGCTGCGCGCACGTGTATTTAGCACCGCCCGACCGGGCATTCGTGCCTTTCTTCTTCAACGAAATCTTTTGTGCCAAAGCTAGTCATTAGCATTTCCGGGCCTAGCCCTTAAAAATTGGCCGGACGCCGAGCAAGTGAGTTTAACGAGGTCACGAGAACAGCTCCAAGGTTAAGCCAGGACTTGGCATCGAGTTTAACGAGGATTGCCACCGTCTTGGATTAGCATTTAGCAATGACCCCAGATCCGAAACTCGCAATCACGCCACAGAACGAGTTGTCCATTAATAGCATCGGTTGCCGTGAAGATTTAGCCATCATGATCGGGGATGTTGCCATTCACGTACCTGTCTTTCTTGTCATCTAAAGCTCGGAAGACTTGATCCTCGGCAGGCCTTTCGCGATGAAGGCCTTGTAGGCAACTCAAGAACTGGGATGCAAATGCACCATCTGTTAGAACACTGCCCGAGCTCAGAGGTTCTACCGTTGGGCCAAAAAGCCCACTATTATCAGAAGATGTTCATCATGCTCGGGAACCGATATATATATAGTAGCGCGCTGATAGGTAGGGATCCTCACACAATCTACTCTGACAACCGAGGTAGACAAGTCACATTCGAAGGCGATAGACCTCCCCCGGAAACTGTTCGTTATGTTGAAGATATCTGACCGAGTCATCCTTTAAACTAGAGGGCTGATGGTACCGTGGGCAGCTATCCGCGATTGAAAACGGAGACCCGAAAACGACGTTCGACTACAGCTCACGCCCCGCGTTTTACGCAATTCCTGTCGACCGATCACAACTCACAGAAAAGACCCAGTCCAGCGCTAGCGCCGACCCGGGACTTTCTATCCGATCAGCTCCATCTCTACTTCTTGGGCCCGAGCGGCCACAGTCAACCTCGATGCGCTCGCCGACGCGGTGAATGGTGGATTTGAAGAACTATCTGAGATCAGCAGCGGCCTTTCAAGCCCTCCTTCGGATTTCGACGAAGAATATGAGCAAGCCTACCCTGATATTGAGCACGTTGAAGGCAGAGATGAAGGTGGTGAAAAAGATGAGGATGAACAACTGTGCGGCTGCGCTCGCATTCCTGCCGCATTCACTCGGGACATCGCCTCCGGGCGACAGCCAAACGGCGCGGCAACAGCTGCTTACCTCAGACGAGCCGCAAACCTTCTTCAAGATCTTTGAGTCCACTTATGTTACTCCCACATTCGCCTCGCTTGTTCTCAAGTCGGAATAAAAAACCAACGATGCCTCTGAAAACTCTCATCTCGAGATTTAAGCACGTCGTTTCGAATCATGATTATATCGGGGACGTTCGCGTCGGTGAAAGAACTAAGTGTTGGTTTCGAATTTCAGCTCGCCCAGAAGCGGCAGAGGATTCCTTAGGGATCTACCGCTTCGAACACGCCCCCCCCCCCCCTCTCCTCTCGCGTGTCTCTAGAAGACCTGTCCTTCGAATATTTCCGTCGTATTTGCAACATTCAAGATGTTCACCCCGATTCACTCCAATCCGCCTGGGAAAATGTCGGGACGGTCACCATCCCCCAGCTCATAAGCTGGTGGGGAGTCTATGGCCTGCTCGACGTCGCAACTGCGGAATTTGATTCCTACTTATATCATCAGAGGAGAATTAACGGCTGATAGAATCATAGATGGCTATGTATGGCCTATCACACCGTCTCCCAACAGGTTCTCCGTCAAGACCCAGCTATTGGCTGTGGTACTGCCTGCTTCACCCTGACTCCCGCTATTGTCTCGCTTCCTATCCGTATTACGCCAAGTATGCTACGCCTGGAGGTCACACGTGGTTCAGAGATGTCGATGTCAATGTCGCCAGAGGCCTCCACGCTATACAAGGATTGGTCTCCCTGGGTAACGAGGGTAGCGAAGACTGCACGGATGTCATTCCGGGGATGCACCTGCGCCTCTCCGACTAGCTCGCTCGCGTCTGCTCCCGGGTCCTGGACCTTAACAACGCTGTCTCCCGCATCACCAAGGACCTCTTGTTGACTTCCATATACGCTGAAGACTGATTGATATGCTCGCATCTCCGACTGACCAATCAGAGCCTGACGTGCCCACCTATTTACGACATACTTCCTGCCCATGCCTAATCGTATCCACAGAGGATATGATAGAGATATGATAGGACCAAGGATTACGGCTATGCAGCCAGCATCCTTTGACTATGGCCACCGCATACATGTCTTATGCGCTTTGTATTCCTTTTGTCTCTTTGAACTTCTTTCGCAACGACCTTGTCACCATCCCTTTTGCACTTAGTTGACGGCCGCCAGATTGTTTATAAAAAGGCCGTACAATAAATATATATGTAGAATCAGAGGTGTTGCTCTATTCACTCCGAATAGTGCCTGTTATGGGCTCGGAATAGTAGATATTAATGAACTGAATCCCTATCTAGACTACTGTAGCCATCGATGAGAATATGGAATCTGGGGAAGAAGAAGGAAAAGAAAATCTATCTAGGCGATGAACGATCTTTATAGACATTTGTGTGCTGCGGCTGAAGCCCTTGTTTGCCCATATTGCTGGTATGACGTCGTTTGACATGTTGGCGCTGTTTGTCTGGCGTTGAGCCGTCACAGTGCCTATGACATCCTTTCGAGTATAGTAGGCAACACCTCTTCACCCCCGAGGACGCCACTTACTTCGATACAAACTGGGCCGCGGTGCCCAATCGCCAATTGGGATGGGGGGGTAGTCGAGCCCGGGCCCCGAGGTGGCGCGGCTCCTG